ATTGAACTATTATTGAACTATTATTGAACTATTATTGAACTACTATTGAACTATTACTGAACTACTATTGAACTACTATTGAACTACTATTGAACTATTATTGAACTATTATTGAACTATTATTGAACTATTACTATTGAACTATTATTGAACTACTATTGAACTACTATTGAACTACTATTGAACTACTATTGAACTACTATTGAACTACTATTGAACTATTATTGAACTATTATTGAACTATTATTGAACTATTATTGAACTATTATTGAACTATTATTGAACTACTATTGAACTATTATTGAACTACTATTGAACGATTATTGAACTATTATTGAACTATTATTGAACTATTATTGAACTATTATTGAACTATTATTGAACTACTTATTATTGAACTATGAACTTGAACTATTATTGAACTATTATTGAACTATTATTGAACTATTATTGAACTATTTGAACTTGAACTATTTGAACTATTATTGAACTATTATTGAACTATTATTGAACTATTATTGAACTATTATTGAACTATTATTGAACTATTATTGAACTATTATTGAACTATTATTGAACTATGATTGAACTACTATTGAACTATGATTGAACTATTATTGAACTATTATTGAACTATGATTGAACTATTATTGAACTATTATTGAACTATTATTGAACTATTATTGAACTCTTATTGAACTATTATTGAACTATTATTGAACTATTATTGAACTATTATTGAACTATTATTGAACTATTATTGAACTATTATTGAACTATTATTGAACTATTATTGAACTATTATTGAACTATGATTGAACTATTGTTGAACTATTATTGAACTATTATTGAACTATTATTGAACTATTATTGAACTATTATTGAACTATTATTGAACTATTATTGAACTTAAATTTTGGACTTAGATATTTCTTTGGATAAACCAGTGAAGCTATGCCATCTGCCCCGCGATTTCACCAGGTGCCTGCAGCCGCGTAGTCGAAGAGCCAATGTGTTGGTCGAATCGGTCGAATCTGAGAGGCTGGGAGAGGACCATGTTCCAATACTCGAAGAATCTCGAAGATACAGATTTTGACCTCGTTTTTGGTTTTACACGTGAAAACTATATATACAGATTTAATATTATTATATTTATTATTATTTATTATAATAATTGTCATTATTATTGTATCATTATATATATGCCATCAAAGTCCCATTTTTGTCAGTGGTTTGAAGACCAAAACACATGGGTTGTTGTTGGAGATTATCCATCCGCAGTGTTTGGGTCTTGTTTCAGAATCTTTATGTGGGATAGCCAAAAAAAATATCTGGCAGATGAGATCGCAGATGCGTTTTCGAAAACGCTGCAGGTGAAAGGTTGGTTTGAAAAGGGTAAGATGTCCGGCCACGAAACTGGGCACCTGAGGTATTCCTTTAATACATTTTGATACAGTAACTGTAGCATGCTGTAGCCTTTTTTCGGGCCCAGGGGTATGTGGATACGAATTTGAACCACAGATTGGCTAGTCACTTCTAGGACGACAAAAAACGATGTTTCCGAAGGTTTGCCTCATATTGATTTGAGATGGGTCAAAACTCAATGTCACCAATGTAGGACTCGGGAAGGTGGATTTCCCATGATTTCCCAATATCATCTCTTGGGCGTATGACATGACCTTCCAGATCAAGATTCGAAAGGTCATAGGCATGATTTCTTGACATGATCCAAGGATACCAAAGGAATCTGTTCAAATCTCTTCTAATCCTTGCTTTCTTGGAGTGCCTTTCAAAGCCACAGTATATATCGGGAACTCGAAACAGAGCTCTGGGGAAAATGCCGTCTCCGATTCCAGTTCTCCCAACCACTGGCCGAAATGTTGGCAATGTTGTCCATACCCAATCTACACTCATTTGGGTAGTAACGGTACTGGGTACCCCTAGAAATGAGACGACGTAGGACCGTGAAATTCACCAGTCAGTCACCAACAGGCAGATGGTAAGTAGCCGTTGTCCTGCGACTCCCACGTGTCTCACACCAATTCAAGCTAGAGTTGATCCGTTGCAGATGGCTTACAGATGGCCAACGCCAAAAAAAAGGTGGTTTACCCTATGTTAATTGAACCTTGCAGCATAAAATAGCAGAACATCAGTTTCAATAGAAGGTCACTTTGGTAGCAAGTGCAAGGCAGCCGGCTGGAGGCTCGTCTCCATGGGTTTCGCCACGGCCATGTTGGGTGTATGGATGAAGAATGCCATGGCTTGTTGCTATTTGTTGCTTGTTGGACATCTGCAAACCAAACGAGCAAAATTTGCTCAGCGCAAAAGGAGAAAATGGCCGTTCGTCATCCCAAGTCCCTGTTCAGATCCCGGGTGAGGGGGGGCTGCTAGGAGTTTCTCAAAGCACGGGGCTGAGTTTACACAGTTTCTTAAGCGCTGCCTTTTCTAAGCCCTGAAAAAGTCTCAGGGATTCCTGGGTTTTAACGACTTCAAGCCATAAAGTATATACTTCGCTCTTGAAGCCTCTCAATTGGACCACAAAAGGACGTAAACGTCGATCCGGTGATCATCCTTGGGGGGATGCCCAGACGTTTTTTCGGGATCGGATTCTTGGTCTCATCTACTGTGAATGACTTTGGGTTTTGTTACGTTTATATAGACTATATAGACTAGTTGGTGGTTTCAAACATGTTTTTTTCCCATAATATACTGGATAATCCTTCCCATTGACTAATATTTTTCAAGATGGTTAAAACCACCAACCAGTAGATGTAAGAACAACAATAATCATAATCATGCAGAGAGAAATGATTATTTAATATTATAGAATATTATAGATCCACACCGACGCAGCACTTTGAAAAAATGGATCTTCAAATATCTTCAGAATTGAGGATTTGATCCACAGGGAGGTGTCATATCCATCTCGCTGCTTTTTCCTCACTGCACTCCCGAGGTGACATTGCTATGCCCAGCTTCTCCCCCAGAAATCAAGAGCAAATCAGAAACAAGTTCTTCGCATTGCAGAAGCACAGTAACCCAGTAACCTTCCAATCTTTCGACCCACAAATGGTTTCTTCTCTCATGTTTCCAGGATTTTCCAAGGATTTTCCAGGATCATCACAGCACAAACCAAAGTTCAACGCGGTGACAAAGCTTTCACCCATGGAGCCGATGGCGGAGCCCGTGACGTGCGCAAAATGGCATGTGTGTGTGTTGTCGATATGTGAGTTACGACCAAGCGAAAAAAAGGGGGGTGAGAGATGCAAAGTAAGATAGGAAAACTATACCTGGAATACTCATGGGGTATCTCACTGTCAACTAATTAACTCATGATTTCATTGGTTGTTTCAAAGCGATTAGGGATTGGTTAATTTTCCACCGGATGATCCGCACCATCCGATGGCGTAAAGATTAATCTGATGATTCTGATGTGTTCTGGACGCTTGGGATGCTCTTCATGGGATATCTTTAACATGTTTCTATAAATAGATACTTTATGATACTTTTCCTTGAAACCAAGTCCAGCTCCTAGTCGAAACATAGAAGTTGTTCCTTTGAGTTCCTCGCAGTAAAGAACATCCTGTCTGCACAGAACTTGTGGATTGGACCTGGGTGGATCCGCAACCTGAGACGCAAACCTGAGACGCAGCAGGCCGCATGAAGAGAAATTGAGAGCACTTGACGCCTTGAACCTTTGCCACTCATCCATTTTCCTGATGTTTTTCAAATTACATGTTTTTTGCACACATTTTTACCCGTGATGGATCCCCGCCAGCAATTCGCGAGCAAGAAGCGGCTTTGCCTATCCCGTAACCCAGTCGCATCCAGTCGCCTCTCGAAGGACTTCACATATCTTATCTTTTTGACAAAGACAAGAAACACAGCAAAAGAATCGACAAGCTCTGTAGCAAAGGAACAAGAAGACAAAGAAGAGGAAGAATAAGAACAAATATATCATAAAAAAACAAAGAAGAAGAAGAAGAAGACTAAAAAACAATCAGATAGTGGAAAGTTCTTCCAGTTCCAAAAACTAGCAGTGGCACATAGCTGCACCGACTACTATAATTGATTTGTGCTAGCTTTTCCTGAAGGTTTTAGATGCAGTTTCAGGCACAAAAGAGACAATGCAGACTCTAGACAAATCATATGTTCCATGACCAAGCAAGAAGCAACACGCACGGAATTACGATTGGCTCTTAGACCATCAAATAATCCTCGGAATAGGGGAACAATCATGGCTGTCCTTTTATGGGCCATCATGGTCAACAAAGATGTGTATACCCCAGGGAGCCCTACAAGGTTTTGATGACGATCCCCGTTTGTATGTGTATATACTGTGTATATATATATAATTATTATTTTGCAGTATTATGCGCATACATCCGCATTATATCGGGCAGATATCGGAACTTGTTTGACATGGCATGTCCTTTGCAAGCACTGGCACGATTCAACTCTCACTGTCGAGACGTGAAGAAATCTCCATGGTCCATTGGGATTATCCTACTGACGTGTTTTCCCGACCTGGTGCCAGGTATCGGCAGGGCGCAGTCCTGACATGTTTTGGCAAAAATGGGTCTGGCTGCTGGGAATTTAAGGAAACCTTTTCTTTGAAGCCATCGGTCGTGGAAAAAACACGGTGATTACTACTACCACAACATGCAAACTTAGAATCTCCAAACGTAGGAAGAACAAAACATAGAGCAAGCATGTTGAGTAGTTGGATGATGCTGGATTGTATTGAACATGTGTTTGCCATGGTGTTTGCCATGTTTTGCCAGGCTGGAGCCGCTCATCCGGTGCCCTGTGGGAGCTTAGTGTGGCACTGAGTTCGACGACGAAGCTGCTGGTTTGGCTTGGACAAAATGGAGTTCAGGAAGTTTGACACAAAATGGTGAAACTTGTGGTTTAAGCCTTGTTTAAGCCATTGAAATAGGGATCCTATGGTGATATCATGGGATATTCAACCCAAGTGGCCAGTTTTTGTAGGAAAATACCCGATGTTCAAAGCCACATGGGTATGGTGAATACCAAAATTGTTTCTTACGTTCGTCCCAAAGAATGATGGTATAGTAGGTTTTGATCCATATCCATATGATTTCCGATTAACATGATAACATGAAATCGGGTAGAAAAATATGTTTAGTTTTGTTTTGTTTTTGGAAGATGGTCATGTCAAAAAATAATTCGGAATGACCTTATGTTACCTATGTTCTTTGGTGGAAATATGATATACCAAAATTTCCACCATAACTAGGGTAATTGCAACAGGGAACATGTTTTTCAATATCTTCCAATTCTGAGATATTAGGAGCACCCTATTTGTGTGTTCTACAGATTGGGAACCAAAACCGCCGGATTTTCTCATGTTACTTTTTTTGCGGGTCAGTGGTTGCATCCACACAATGTGGTAAGCCCAATACCATAAAGCATAGCAGTTTGCTTGATGTTTGCTTTATCATAATCATACCCAAAAACAGTGGTTCACGAGTGGCTTTAACACATTTGTGAGTGATTGTATAGTACTTTCAGGTACATGGTTTCTTTTTTTCTGTACCTGTTATATACTCAAAATGGCGTTGTTGGTTCATTGCGGGTTAAACACGTTAGAAACAATCAAGATGGCGATTACTAAGCTGCAAAACGGATCAACATGGGTATACAATATGAACGAGAAATCATGTCTATATGGTCTATATGTATAATTATGATATAGGATTCATCATTTAACAATAGTAGTTTCAGCCATATGACCGGACACAATGGTTATTTGCAGCCGAGTCTTGAGATTAGGTAAGTGTGCAGCAGGTGATGAAGGACGCCCTCCTGACTTCCTGTGGTGACTCTTCCGACTAGTTGAATGACGTAAGCTCTTTCCTGGCGACGTCATCAGGACGTAATCGATATAAGATCCATTAAGATCCCCCATGGGGCCAACTTGTCGAGATGTATCTCAAGTACGTATTGCAGTTCTACTTTGAACCAGAAGTTTAGGGTCAGCACGTTGACCGAAAAGAGAAAACGAGCACCCAGCATGAGTTTGGAAGATCTTTTAACTATTGGCAATTGGCACGTGCTGGTACAATCATAGACCATAGATGTTTTAGTTGAGTGGTTGTAGAGGCGCTTTTCGCCGAAATCAAAAAACATGTCCGCTAGATCCTTAATGCAGATCCAATAATATCTATGGCACGCATCCCTATGTCCCTACATTATTTAGAATTTATTACATGTAGTTGAACTTTCCACCACCAATGTGGAATTTGGGAAAGATTAAATTGTTAGAGATGGGTCATAGTTCACTGGGTCTCTGATTTTTACGCATACGCACCGGCTCATTGCTATTGTAACCCATGTATAGTTTTGCCCCTTGTTTCTTCTTGCTGTTGCTGCTGTTGCTGTTGTTGCTGTTGTTGTTGTTGCTGCTGTTGTTGTTGTAGTTGTTGAAAACACTTTGTTCCACAATCAAGTGTTGTTGGAATATTCGAATTTCCAGTGCAATAATAAAATGGAAAAACAGATATAATACAATTTATTATCAGGCATTCTTATAGGTATAAAATTATACATCTGAATTATACATATATAATAAACACATATAAATCTGAAATTACTTAGACCTATGGTCCAAGGCTCACTTAAGACGACTTTTTCACTCACTTAGGACGACATTTTTTATGTTGACTTCAGGGTTAACGCCATGGGGTACAGACCTTTAGGTTAACACTTGGGGACACTTGGGGTGGGTTTAGGGGTCACTTGGGGACAGTTGGGGACACTTGGAAACACTTGGGGTGGGCTTAGGTGACACTTGGGACATGGGGTGGGTTTAGGGAACCTACTCCATGGGATACAGACCTTTCTTTAGGTTAACACTTGGGGACACTTGGGCTGGGACATGCTGTGTAGGGGACCAAAAGGGGACCTGTTTATACTTAGGCAAATAATCCATCAGACAAATTCCCGCTACGTTGCAACATTTTCCCGTCAAGTAACATGCAAGACGTTCCTGATACTTGCAACATCTTCCTACTTGTAAGTAGCTTGCAAGACGTTCCTTATACGTTGTAAACTCTTCTTCGACTAACTTGACAGATGTTCCTGATACGCTGTAACATCTTCTTCAAGTGACTTGCAACACGTTCCTGATACGTTGTGAAATCTTCTGCAAGTAACTTGCAAGACGTTCCTGGCACCTTGTCACAGCTTCTTCAAGACCCTTGAATGATGTTCCTGGTATGTTGTAACATTTTCGTCCAGTAACATGCAAGACGTTCCTAATACGTTGTATTATATTCCTCAAGTAACTTGCAAAATGTTCCCGATACGTTCTCAACTCTCCGTCAAGGCACTTGAAATACAGTCCTGATACGTTGTAACATCTTCTTATTCATATGATTGAATGAAAATGTTCTGATGATCAATCATCTCTGTCACACATGTACAAGCCTGTTGAAGTCATGTTCAAATACATCTATATATGTTTTTATTGATATTGTAGTCATATATCACAAACGTAGTCCTAAGCGAGCCAAAACGTCGGCCTAAGCGAGGGACTGACCAGACATGTATGTAACAGTATATATATATATATTATATATATATGCATATGTATTTACATACTTCTCAACATATCCAATCGTATTAATGTGAGGTATTTCCTGCCCAGGCGGGACAGAATCTCTCATCCCATCGTTCAGGAGCTGCCGAAGGAAATTGTGGAACATCATACCATCGCCACCTGGCCGGAATGTCATGGATAATCGCAAGTTGTTATACTAAATATGCTAACCAAAAAAATAAGCAAATTATGTAATATAGTAATATAAAACACCATGAACGATATAGCAGTAATTAATCTAGTTATAGTAGATACTGTTACAGTAATACTGATGGCCCATATGTAAAAAAATAATAGTTTTAGTGATAGCAACTGCTATTAGTAACATTTCGTCGCCATAATTGATATGGTTTATCCATGTTTATCCCTCAATGTATGAGATAACCCCACGAATCGACGAATCGAGGACTTGGCAGCACCACTTCTCGGGATGATTTAACAACTAAATTAGGATATGGATGAAGAGTAAAACTGAAGGATTAAATAATATAAAAGCTAAGGATGTCTGAATCAAAATCGATATTGGTAAGATTACCACATATTACCAACTAAATCGTAAAAGGAACAAAGTCATCTCCTTTCAGGATTTAAGTGGTACGTTGGTTATGGATATCCAAATTCTCACTGCCTGGTTGATTGAAATAAGGCTGTCATCTCCAACGAATTTGTCACAAGCAGTGGATGATCTGCCTTTGCAGCGCGCGAATGTTGTATCGCTGTCTCAGCTTACGAGTATGTGGAATAACCTGTGGAATTTAAATAAGAAGTGGCTGAATTTAGCAACGAAACAACGTGCAAACATGGGTAGTTTACGTCACCTGTTTCGGGTGGTCAGGAAACAACCAAGTTATCTGGTAAAACCATGTAAATCCTAAGCATTAAGCCATACCTAACTGCTTGTGGGGTCAAAATTGTCAGCCTGTAAAATGATGTAAAATGGATGGTTTGATACTAAAAATGACCAACGTTTTGAGGGTTGGTATCCCCTGTTTGAACTAGACTCACTCGACCCAATTTCATTGCTCATCTAGATCTTGTTAGAGGCTGTGTCTTCCACAGGACCTTGTAGGGCCCATTATTGTACCTAGCCATATGAATCCAGGGTAAATACCGCCTATTTCCAGTCAAAAGCATGGTGATTGTCTCAGTAGATTCCCAGACTTGAAATAGTTCATGAAACGAAGATTTGCAGGAACCACTTATTGTTGGCGATTTATTGTGATTTATGGTGTATTCTATGTTATTCTCCATTTCATATTTCATATGTCATCATATTTCCCTGGCAAAAACCCTTACTTTGTCCTCCATTCCACATCTCAGGTGAAGCAAAAACCTGAGTACAAGACCGTCGAGAAGCATATCGAGGCCTGGATGTTTGGCCCAGACGGCACCATGGATGTGGGCACCGACCAAAACTTGGGGATGTTTTATACCAAAAATGGTGATGACTTGGGGATGTTTGATGACATTGGGTACACACATTTCAAAAGGGACCATTGGAGCTCTGTTTGAAAAGACCCAAGACATAGTTCCCTAATCTTTTTTGCAGAATATGTGGAATTTTGTTCTTGGACCTAAACAGCATGAATTACAATGAAATCATTGCGAAATATGATAGATTCCAAGAATTCTTCCAACCATACCTGTTTGTTTCAATGATTATCACATTGCTTAACCTCAGTTCTGCGCGTCCAGGTGCCGGAATATCAGGTCTCCGAGCAGGCGATGGGGCCAGGTAACCATGGATGGTGTAATGGCTTGGATGACTTGGGAGTACCCATTGTTAGCTTGGAAATCTCTATGATGTATGTGTGTTTAGATCAGAAATATGATGATGATATTCATATATATATATATAGTGTTCACATAATAATTATGTGTATATGTATATATACATATTATATGATCATTATGAATAATTATGATGTGTGTATTTATATATATACATAGACAATGGAACTAGTGTGTACATGCAATGATATATGTATACATCATATCTGAATTCAATGGGGAACAGTCCAGTTTTCAGTTTTCAGGCCAAGACACGTTTTGGAAGGCAACTCCAAAGAACAGCAAGGCTGCAATTCATGGGGTTCTGTATAACATGTGCAACTAAAAAGTATGGCTATTCACATGGGATTCCCGGCATAGTTGTGTTGTGTAGGTGACTTAGTTGGTTGCAATTTGGCTATGACAAAGGATCTTCATAAATTATTGGCAATGGGGACACATACATTTATCACACATCATTTGAGAAGACGGGGATGTAAGCGCCATGAATTAATGGGACGAAAAGCCAAATCTATTTTCGGAAATGGGGTGACACCATCCAGAGTTGATTTTGTTGGGAGAAAATGCAGGAAAGGCGAACACGATTAAGAGTGAACACCATGATTTCAACGGGTATTCCCAAAAATCCAGCGAAATCAATCCATGTTGAGCAAATTCTGTTGGAACCTCGCTGGCCCCCGTCACCATAGAAAATGATGGTCTCAGTATGGGGAACTGCCCAGTTTAGTGACCTGATATTTCCAGCCATTAGGAAGTTCTTTTTACTGATTCAGCAAGATGCATTGTTCATGAGCTTATCTTTAATCTTTTGATTGCAACATTTTCTTCACACCCTTTATTCAACTAAATTCCTGGTTGTTCGACATAAAAGGATGTACCTTTCTTGTGCCCTATGTAGTTTCCCCATGTTTTCAGTGAACGTATCATCATTCTGCCGTTCAATACATCGTCATTTTGCCGTGGAACCGCAATTCCAGGTGCAGGAAGTGATCACCCGGATCACCCATGAGAAGGTCGTTGAGGCCAATCGGGGGATACTCCACTGGGAAATTCGCCCTTTTTAGTCCATAAAAAAACGAAACGAAGCATGAAGAGAATCCAAACCCTAAAACAACCTTAAACAACCCCTAAACCAACCCCAAAGTCCCAAACCCCAAAGTCTCAAAGTAAGTAAATCCCCAATGAAACTTTGGGCGAACGGCCGCCCCAGGGAATTGTGTTTATACTATGTATATGTATATAATATTATAATATATATGCAAATACATACAATTACATTTATATATATATACATATATATATATATATACATATACACAGATGTACACGTACAAATGCATATGTGAATGCAAAATAAGGCATATATCAAGATACATACGTACAAACCCAGCCCGCCCCAGTAGCAGCTGTGGGAGGGCGGCGGGTAGGATGGGAGTGATGCAACGTCGATAGGTAATACTGGGAGTGAGGATGTATTTCAAATAAATGGTATATATAGATGTAGTATAGCTAGGAACTAGGTACTAGGCAGCATGTATGTTGGTGCACAGCTGGTGTAAAATAACTATAGCTAGCATAAAGGATCATGTAGGTATAGGTAGTATGTAATCAGATAGTACCTGGTACATCCTGGTACCCAGGTAGTCTCTACATCAAATAGGTTGGCAGGGGCGGGAGAGCGGCCATCAGGGTCACAGTCGTAATGTGGGGAATATGTAAGAGTGGGGCGGTTACAATTGCAGGGAGGTAAGGCGCGGGGGATCGCATATGGATCACATATGTATTTATACATGTATATATGTATATATAGATATAATTATATATATACATATTTGCATTATGTATGCAATATAAATTGTGTAATATATATTTATATAGTATATACAGCGTATATATATACACAGTATTTATATATAAATACACGGTGTGTATATATATATATGTGTGTTTTTATTATTGAGTATATATATATATATGTTACAGTGTATATATATATATACACAGTGTATACATATATATAGTATGTATGTATACAGTGTATATATGTAGTATATATATAATATATATATATATGTATAGTATATATATAGTATGTATATATATATAGTATGTATATATATAGTATGTATATATATATAGTATATATATATATAGTATGTATATATATAGTATGTATATATATAGTATGTATATATATATAGTATATATATAGTATATATATATATAGTATGTATATATATAGTATGTATATGTATATATATATAGTATGTATATATACATATCATTGTATCTACATATATATATACAATGTATATATATAATATAAATGAATATGTTTGGTAACAAATGCAACAATATGATATCAGTTTGTCCTCAAGAGTAGATCATTTACCCAGGCGCCGAATTGTGCTTTAATCATCCAACAACTGGACCAAACGAATGAACAACGGAAATGACATGGGTTTAGCCAAATTGAACATGGTGGGTTTGACTTCAAAAAAGGATGTAAACAAAAACAGCATAGTTACGTCCACTTCCACTTCAGGTGCATTTTTTGATTTTTTTCTCCATGATAAACCACCTTCAATCTTGGCAGAGAGAGTGTGTTTTTCAACCATCCCCAATTGGAGGTACCTCAGACGCAAGTCATTGAGACGCTTCGGCAAGTGCCATCTCTGGAGTATGAGGAGGTGGTGAAGCAGGCTGGGAAACAACACCATGTTGGAATATGTGGGATACCCTCACGGCCTATATCATCTGATATCATTCCATGCAGTCCATACCAAAATTAGTTGTTCCTCATAATATTGCCATTTACCCAGTTATTAACATGTGCATATATATATATATTTATATATAAATGGTTATTGGAATTTTTTATATTGTATTATATTTGATATGGCCATATAATTCATTCGGCTATGGATGAAAATCTCAGATTCATTTGGGACCACATGCTGACCGTTTTTCAAGAAGGGATCTGGCCATGAACCCTTGACCTCAGCACATGGCCAACCGTAGGTGCACGTCTTTTTGTTTGACAAAATATGACATGTTTATGTCATGTTCAAACTGATACCTTAGATATTAAGAGTGCTTGTTGTAAAACCAGGCATGAAGTATTCTTAAATGAAAACCGCTTTCACTGATGATGATGACTTGAACTTTGCTCGTGTTTTTTCAGCTGGGTGAGAACCAGCGGCCAACTTGATTTTTGTTTTGCAATTTGCTGCTCATATTTCTTGAAACACACTGTACCCTCACTGCCAAACAACATCCTGATCAATGATATAAATCGAAGTCAAAGCTATCAACCACTTCCAGTGTAGATGGCATGATTGACTTCTGAGGATTTGGAGGATTTGGTTTGGCCAGACCTGAGGAAAACCTTGGAAATTGAACTCCTGAGGACAGCGGAAGAATTCAGCAACATGTGAGCCCTGTGCGCCTGGAGCGAAAGGGAGGCTCCATGATTTATATCAGTTCGGATGGTTGGCCAACCTTTCATCCTATTTGTTTGCTACAAAAAACAGCAAAATCACTTTTGACGGGTGCCACCTGCAGGTGCATTTGCCTTTGGTCGAAGGGAAGGAGACCATTCGGGAGGTGAGAGCTAAATGTGGGTTTCCGCGCTGCAGAAATGAACTAATTAATTGAACAGTCGAGTCAAGAGTCATAGGTTTGATAGAGATTCCACTTGGATTACAATCTGGATTCAAATTGATTCCAACAGTCAAGTCTTTGACATGGAGGGTTCACGTAGAATTTTGTGAATATGAATCCAGCGCTCTTTTGAATCAGATCTGAGAGATATCCCAGGGCCTCTCAGGGTGATATGTTGAAATTGGCTGAGCATTTTTGAAGAGTGCAGCAGGCCATTTTGAACTGATCCAACCCCAAATGTCTACAATCTGTTGTTGTTTTTTTGAGTTGTTTTTTCTCTGCTGAATATATCCTAATTATGGATAGTTCGTTGCAGGTTGTAAGGGTTTCAAGGATCTTCGGATCATGATGGCAGGTTCCCACTGTGCTTCATCGTGAAATCGCCTTCGAGGTACCGCTTGTCGGGAGGCCAGTTTTTTGACTGTCTAAGTATAGCACATTGATATGGTTCCATAATGTTCCATACCAAAATTAGTTGATTTGGTTCCATCCCATGTAACATGTACATCATCATAATCATCATAATCATCACCATCATCAAGCGTACATTGCTAGCTGCCTTGTTTGGGGTTTGGCTAATCCAACTCAGACAGGGGTACCAGTCAGATCCAACATATGATGTCCTACTTTCCAATTTGGAGGCCAGGTGTCAGCTTGACACTTCAAAGAAGCTAATCCGAGATGAATAAATTGTTATTTGAACAATTTTGAACAGGGTACTTGGGTGTTCTCAAACAATTGGCATCATGCCTCACATCTATTGGTTTCCTTGCCTGACATTGTTGATTGCAAATCATCCAGTTGGTCCAACTATATATATGTGGAGATGCACCAACTCTAAGCAGGTTGGGATACACCTTTGCGTACCTAACCCAGACTGAACCAGGCGAAACACAAAATGAAGATACTGTAGCAATTTGCTTCTAAAGTCAATGATGTTCAAGCTCCGAATAGCTTTAGAAACTAAGCCAAAGTGACCCATGATGAAATCGCCCTGGAATACTAAACAAACATCGGTTGGGCAAATGCCACTAACACCCAGATGGTTTGCTAGACAGCGGCGGGTAAGGCGTAGAGACAGCATCCATGTTTGCTCCTTAGATTTGACTAGCTGGCCATTGTCATCAGGTCTGGAGTTGACGTTCAATGCAAAAAAAGTGAAAGGTTTGCGGTTTGCGGCCAAAAAACTGCAACAATGAAAAGCAAACCTCAGCTGCGATGGGCCTGAATACATCCGTAGCATGTCGAACCCATTCACGATTCACTCTTTATCAGCTTTGAAGTTTGGAAGCATGGGCATGGGTCAAATATATAGGTCAAATTTACGACCTAGAAAACCTGAGTGCATCTACAGTACTTGCTTTATAAGCTGTGTGCCCTCTGTGAAATGAACATAAATAGCATGGAATCTGGCGCATTGATAGATGGTTTACCTATATATTATTGTAAACATCGTGATTTTCCACAGCTATGTCAAATTCCTACACGGTAATTCTTCGTAGATAGACCATCCCTCTTTGGAAGAAACCGAAGGACTTGACCATTCCCAGATTTTTCAGCGTTCGCACAGGTACCACAGCTTCAGATTGTTGACTGCGTCAAGCAGGCGCGACCACCCTTTCCCTTGGTAGTCTGTCCATGTTTTTGCCGGCAACACCCCATTTTTGCATATTTTTACTGGTGAAATCCACATTTCCTTGTCGGTGAAGAATGCCTGGTTAACCTTGAGGTTCTTTGTCAAGGCCCTTTCGTATTAAGATACTCCTTTTGGGAAGTGTCTGAAATCCCTGTTTTGGGGGACATCAAGTGGTTGATGATAGTGGATGTTGAGCCATGAGATGACGGTCAAAATCTTTGACCCCATTTGGGTCAGGTCGCACGTGTCAGCGAGCAGAGGGTGATGAAGGAATTTGTGGGAGACCTCGAAGGGCGTCGTATGTCGTTGTGGTGAATTCAGGGCCCCGAGTTTTAAATGCTTGTGTTTGCATGTTGTCCCTATTCCTAGAGAGGTTTTTAACTTTAGATGAAATATGGTTGCCAAACCAGCAAAATGCGAGCAGGGCCCGCTCTATCAAAGTCTTCTGGGTGATTGATTCAACAAGTTCTACGCGCAGGGCTGTCAGGTATGTTGTCCCGAATGCGGCCAGATTTGGGGTTCCGGATGGAGATATAATTGTTTGTAAACTTATTTCTACACGACAAGAAGTGAATTCCGTTTTTCACTACATTGAACATACACATGACAAGCCACAACAGCTCAACAAATCCCAGACACCTCCATGGCATCTTTGTTTGAATCTCAGGAACCACCATACTCATGGATGATTTCTCTAATTTCATTTGTTGTTCACTTAAAAAAAGCAACACTGTTTTCGCTCATCTTAGTCGTGCAAATCCAGGTGATTCGTGGCTGCAAGTCGAGATTTTACTTGTATACGTCTCTCTCTCTCTCTCCCTACATGAGCCAAAAAAAAAGGGTGGTTAATTTACAGTAGTATTGTGCGATCCTTCGTTCAGAATTCCAGGCACCGCCGCAGCTATTTCTGATGTTTTTGGTAATTTTGGAATGTGCCATTTAGTTGGGGAACGACCCTCTGAGCGACATCCAGAACGACATTGGAACGACCTCCTAAATATACGTATATATAAGTTATATAAGTAATATTTACATATATTTATATACAGGTCTAGATGCATTTAGAACAAATCAGCAGCCAAATTACACCCGGAACCACCCTAAATGCATTTTTTGGGGCTAGCAAATTGCATCTGGCACGGTCTTTGTAATCTCTGCAACGAGACCCTAGCCTGAGCGGTTTCCCTCTAGAACCATGTTTTTACGAGCCCAAGACTCTTCCCGTGCACAAAAAAATGTTTGGAGATAGGGCCATTTTATAAGGAATTTATCCTGGGCGCACCCAAGAATTGCACGTCCAGTAGAAACACAGAGGACCCTACCCGTTCCGGGGAATTCAGACAGAGATATGATTTTCAGATTGTATAATTATTATGTATTTCAAGGGTCATTATTTAGCAATTTTTCTCGGCTCCCAAACGACCTCTGAACGACCTCTGAACGACATCAGGATTTCAGTCAGAATGACCAATTGCCCACAAAAACCCGGAGACCGCAGACCATTCATCCCATGTGCGCTGCGTTCCAAGTCATTGACCTGATAGCAATCTGGTCCACAGATGGGTTAATTTTCCCACTAACACTGTCAAACTTTTCTGCCATGTTTCAAAATGGCCCCGCCATGGGATTGTGAAAAAGATGCTGTTCCCTGAAAAAGAAACTGCTGAACGAAACTTTCTCTACGGATATATACGGATATGATGTAGCTGAAAGCAGCTCTGATGTAGATGCAACAAGCTCTAGTTCAAACAGTTCAGAATCAAGCGCCGAGACATAAATATGAAGACCGCCGCTTGGAAATCACATGATTTGCTGTTGGGATAAGGATTTACATACAGGTTTTTTTTTTCAACTCACATAATCATATATTATCATATCTGGTTGGTGGTTTGGAACATTTTTTTATGTTTCCCAATAGTTGGGATGATGATCCAATCTGACTAATATTTTCAGAGGGGTTGAAACCACCAACCAAATATTATATATATACGATGACTATATATATATATATATTCATTGCACACTGATTCACCACCATTCACCCATGACGTCACTCCCCATTCGGCCAAGGCCAAACCCATCATCCAGTTCCAGGAAAGGACCGTTGAGGCAGGGGCTGTTTGATGTGAGGCTCCTTGAAAAAGAACTTGAACATATATCTGAAATCCCTGAACTACTTGACTAGAGGCTAAATCAATGATATTCAATGATGTGTGTTGTTTCTTTAAATTCGTTTTATCAAATTTCCTGCATGTGGAATTACTTTCAGTCTGATAAAACCTAGAGGTCCTTGAACATTCTCCATTTTGATCCACATATTTCTGGGGAAGCCATGGTTTTGGTAGTTGTTCCATCTATAGCCATCTCAATGGAGCAATACACTAGCCGGAAATCCCAGAAGATCGGATTGCATCAATGGGATGCGTCGACAATTTCAAAGATGGATTTCTTCGAAATGGAAATTCCATGATTTTAAAGTGGTTTAAAATTAAAAGAGCAAATTGGCGGGTGTACCCCATGTTCAGACAAACCATATGTTCAGATATGTTCAGATTTTTAGAATCTCAAAGGTTCTGCTGACAGACCTGTGGTTTTAGGATAACTTCTAACATTGGACGGGCCGGTCATCCATGTGTTGATCGCCAGTTCTGTTGATCTTTTTTTCATCTTCTTTGAAACTTTCCCTCGGTATTGTCCGTTTGCATCGGCCTCGCCCAGTGCGGGGGCTGGGTGGGCTGCCCCTTGCCGGGCACTTCGGCCTCTGGGCAGGGGAGGGTTTGCCTTCCTTCTGCTTTCTTCGGTCGGGGGCAGTCCCTTCCCCTTCCCCTCGCGCGTGGATGTGGCTGATGTGCCCATGGCGCCTGCTGCAGCTTCTGGTCCTTCCCAGCCTCTTCTGTCCGGTGACTGTCTGCCCCTGCACCGATACTGCCCGGGCTCGCGGCGGGGACTTTGCGCATGCACGTTGATGTTCACTTAGCTGGCTCCCTGGTAGGCCGGGTCCCGCCCGATTGGCTGCAGACCCGCAACCTCCAGCGGTGCCTGGTTTGCGGGCTTAGCGTGGCGACCCGCTTGGCGTCCACCCTACATGCAGGCCCACGGCACGTGCTACAGTGTCGGTGGCGTTGCCCCACCCCGGGCCGATGGTACTGCTGATGGCCCCCTGCCTTCTTTGAGCGAGATCTAGTGCAGCAACACGCCGACTTTGCGGCATGTCCCTGCCGGAGCTCGGCATGCTTGGTGTCAAGCCTTCACTCGGGCCTGCTCCGCGGCTGCAGACTACAATGAGCGGGCATGGGTGCACCTTTTGATGCTCCCCCAAGCTGTGCTGTGTTCTCCGCCACAGGGTGGCCGCAAGCATCACCGTGCTGCCGCCGCCTTCACATTGGAGCAGGTGCAGCGCTGGCTGGATGGCGAGCGGGCCTCCCTTTGGGCGAGCCGGCCTCAGCTGCCACGGTCCTCAGCCCGCAAGCTGACTATACTGAGCAACGGCAGGACTTTGCCATCAACCTCGCCCGAGAAGGCTTCGAAAAGAAAGCCTGCACGGCTTTGCTGTCGAAAGGGCTTTGTGACACTTCTCCTGCTACAGTGGCTGCTTTGCAAGCTCTTCACCCCACCTCCGCTCCGCCGGCAGTTCTGCCTTTGGATGATCTTCCTGTGGCACCTTTGCTGGACTTGGAGAATGTGGCCCAAGCCCTTCAGAGCTTCCCAGCAGATACTGCCCCCGGGCCCAGCGGTCTTCGCGTTCAACACCTTCGGGATGCCCTGCAGAATGGAGGAGGGGCTGGGCTGCTGGACCAATTGACCCTGGCTTGCGCTAGTGTGGCGCCGCTTTTAGCCGGGGCGGGGTTGGTCGCTGCGTCCGCCCGATAGCTGTGGGGGAGCTGCTTCGCCGCCTCACCGCCAAGTGCTTGATGCACGCCGTGCGGACTGAGGCTCGAAGCTACCTCTGGCCTGCGCAAGCTGGTGTAGCAGTGAAGGAAGGGAGGGGCGGAAGCTGCCATCCACGCTCTTCGTGCCTGGGTTGGCCGTCACGCTGGATCACATGACTCGGTGGTCGTGAAGATTGATTTCCAGAACGCCTTCAAAACCATCAGCAGAGAGGCAGTCCTTGGTGAGGCGCGTGAGCACTTCCCAGCACTTGCCCGCTGGGTGACGTGGTGCTACCAGAGCCCGAGCAATTTGCAGTTTGGTGATGCAATCTTGCAGAGCAGCACTGGTGTGCAGCAGGGCGACCCTTTGGGCCCACTCCTGTTCAGTGCTGGAGTCGAGCCCTTGGCCGCTGGCCTGAAGCAAGGCTCAGTCGACTTCTCCATCTTCTACTTGGATGATGGCGTTCTGGCCGGGTCTCTTGCTGATGTCAGCGATGCCCTCACCAAGCTCCAGCAAGCTGCCGCAGCTTTGGGGTTGGCTGTCAACTTGTCCAAGAGTGAAGCCATTGCGGTTGGCATGACTTCACCTGCAGACGTGGCAACCAAACTCCCGCCGGCGTTGGTTCAAAGCGCCGATGGCAGCAGCCGCATCTTGACAGACTTTGAGTTCTTGGGTGCTGCCATTGGACGGCCTGCACACCTGCAAGCGCATGCGGCTGCCCGTGTTGCAGGGGCCCGACAGTTACTGGAAGCAGTTGGGGCCCTACCAGACCCACAGGTGGCCTTGTGCTTCGGCCGGCTATGCTCGCTTGGTGCACACCATGCGATGCTGCCCGCCTGCCGGCACGCGGCTGCGCTGCAGGCTTTTGATGAGTTGGTCCAAGAATCGTTTAGTGCGCTGAGCGGCCTTCACCTGGAACCCGCTCAGTGGCAGCAGGCCGCACATGGTTTTGCTCAGGCGGGGCTATAGCTCCGCTCTACACAAGCACACGCCCCTGCCGCTTATTCGGCTTCGGTTGGTAGCTTCTCTCAACAATGCCAGGCCGCTTGATGCTGGGTATTGGGTGGCCAATCGGGTGATGTTGCCGGAGCTCTGTCTGAGTTGAATGCTCACCTCAGCCCTGCCTGCCACCTTACTTCTGCAGGTGCTTTGGCTTTGTCTCAACGCGAGCTCAGTCAGCGCATTGATGCGGCCAGCTGGGGATCGCAGCTTGACGCCGCTACACCAGTGAATAAAGCAACTCTCCTCTCCGAAGCCACACCTGGGGCTCGGGCATTCCTCACTTGCGTTCCTTCTGGACGCACCAAGATGGAGCCTGCTGTCTTCAATGCAGAGTTGCGGGCGCGCCTCCGGGTGCCTGAATCTGGCACTGACACCATGGTGCCCCAAGTGTGATGCCATCCTGGATACCTATATGGCCATCACGCTGAGATGTGCATGGCGGGGGGGAGAGAGTCCTCTGGCACAATGCCTTGCGTGACCTAGTTTATTCCTGGTGTGAGCGCGGGTGCCTCCGCCCCGAACGAGAAAAAGTTGGCTTGCTGTTGCCCCAGCGGCCGGATGACGTGAGAAGTGCCCGCCGCAGGCCTGCTGATGTCTTCCTCCCAGCTTTCCGCAATTGATTTCGCCATTACGGCGCCCCAGCGGTTGGATGTCTTGGGCTCGCAGGGTGGGGCCTCGGCTGCCTAGGTGTACACGGACCACAAGAAGAGGCACCTCGACACTGCTGCAGCTTGCGCGGCTCAACACGTTGAGTTTCTCCCGTTGGTGGCCGAGACTACTGGCGCCTGGGCGCCTGAAGCGGCCAAGGCTCTTGACCATATCAGCCGTGCTGCCAGCCATGGAAGCACTCTGCTTCAGGAGGCCTGTGTGCTCGTTCGCACTTGGCGGGCCCGTGCGGCTCTGCGCAGGCGAACTGAGCTGGAAACTTCGTAGTGGCTGGTGAGCTTCCTTTGCTGAGTTCTTCCTCTGATCTGAGAGCCACCGCTTTGGAATCGGAGCGCTGTAACGGGGATAATTGGTCCCTGCCCCGCTTTTGCTCCATGTTTTCCTTTTGCGCGCTAGTTTGCCACGAGCCGTGCTGGACACGTTCTTCTGTTTGCCGGGTCTGTGGCGTTTGTCCGTTGGATTCAATTTTTTCTGGCTCACTTCCTTGCTCACTTTGCTTGTCCATGGCCAAGCCATGCGATTGGTGGGGCATGTGTTTGTGAAGCGGGCTTTGTATCCAACTGATTGCACCATTTTCCCGCCACAGTCCCTTATGGTAGATACGTCATGGAATTCCAGCCATCAGAGACATCTACTGTACATATGTATAGCCAACAGTCTGGTCTGGATTACGGATGTTTATAATGACATATCAACCATTATCAACCAGTTCTGTTGATATACACAGAGGATTTTCCAACATGGTCCGAAGATGTCCGAAGTCTTTTCAGTGAGGTTTAATACAACAGCCCATGTACCCGTCACGGATGTTGCGAGGCTTTAGTGTTGGATCGTCGATTGGAGATAGCCATTTGATTTCCTGTGTGCTTTCGATGCCACAATTTGATGCCGCGACAGATGAGACAGTCCCAAGTGGTGAGGCCAGTAAGAGATTTCGATCGACTTGGGACTTGTTTTGAAGTCAGCCCAAACGCGATTTATAGATGCAATATATCACGTGTATATATATATATATATATATCGTACACTATACAAGAAGCATACAATAATAGTAATCGTAGTAATAATGATTGTAATACTAGTAAAGTAGTGATAAGTAGGAATAGCAATAACAGTAGTAGTACCCAGCAAAAGTAACAATAATAATAACAACAATATCTACTTTATCATATACATATATATGTATATATGTTTATTGATTAAATTACATATGTATGATTTATTCTAATTATATATATATATAACATATATATATACATATGTATAAACATACACACATACATTGAAACAAAAACACCATGGCTTCAGTTCATCCATCACCATGCTACACATGGCGCCAGGTGCCCCATACCTTAGTCCAAGAGGAGATCACCGAGGCACCATGGGGTTGGTTTACGGGAAAAATTACAGGAAACCCTCATATTTCATGGTAAAAACCTAGTAAAACCTATGGTGTACAGGACACCAACCCAATGAATACAGGAAGATATGGTGTTTCTTAAGTCACGGGGGATCCCAAAGTTACCATAGGTTGTAATACATTGTAATACTAATTCGTGGTCATAACTTGGATGATTTTGGGGTGCCCCATGTAGGGAAATTTCCATGTAGATATAATATATTGATATCATGAATATATATATATATATACATATATATTTATTTATTTATTTAATATACATTGATAGATATCTTCTCAACCATGATATATATATATATATAGCTATTTAAAAAATAATATAGTAAACCCCAAAAGGATGGAACGGCTTCAACTTAGCATTTTGGAATATGATCTCACTGTTTCTATCCTTTTTTGTGTGGCCATAGACCCCCATCATTTTTCCAGAAAATGATCTATACATGGTGATTGAAGGCAAGTTCCTTCCAGCTAGAATCCCCGAAAACTAGTTGGGATGTATTGAATCTCTGAAGATCCTTGAAGAATACTTGAATTTTCCACCGCATATCAACAGAAACACATAACTTTCTCAGCAGGATAGGGGGTCTAACGGTCTATGGGATTAGTCACGTTCAGCAGTATCTGCACCCCAGCTAGATGTGGAGGGTCATCCCACTTGCGAAGTGGTATCCATGCTTCAAACCCGATATTGACATGTTTGAACTAAAAAACAAAACAATTAGGGACCTTCGAACGACATGGAAAAAATATATATGAAACATAGAATTTATAAGCCATTCATATCCATTAATGTGGGGATGTTCCACTAATCTAACTTGGGGCAACTAA